TCAGAGCAAGGACTGGCGACTGGAAAATGCTCGCGCCCGCAACGCAGTCTGAGCACGCTCAGTCGCCTCTAGCGTTAACTAGGCCCCGAAGCTCCGCCTTCCAGGCGCCAATCCCATTGTTTTAAAGGGTGCTCGTGTTTCTTCAATAAGCAGATTGTCACTGAAAATATTGTTTCCATATGCAGCGCGTAATGTCAGGAAAAGATTGCATATGGACAAAAGACAGAAACAGTCAGCAGCAAATCGAAACCTCCACCAAAAAAATTGGACTTTACAGCAAAATAATCGCAAATGACTCAACGAACAGAAAATTCTTGAAGAGTAGAGCTCAAAGTGCACAATGGGATGACCACCACTTCATAACATGAAATTCATCAAAGGGAGGTCAACAACTTTCATTTCTAGCAAACAAGGGGTATTTAAAGGCATGTTCATTCTTACGCTATGATGGCCCTAAACGGCCACTTACTAACCTTTCTCTTAACCTCTGCTTTAGCAACTGGGCCCTCTGTTCTGCATTGCGATAACAATGTCTACTGTAGCAGAAAACCAAGGTTTTAAGGAGAGCCTTCAGTACAGATGTAGCAATTTCTACCTTTTAGCCGATCCTGGCACAACAAGCGAAGAGTCGCAGAATTATTAGCACTTAATGGGGGAAAACCATTTAGAAGGTAAGTGATCCTAGTTCTAGTAAAAAAAACTCAACAGCCAGATTGCAGAAACTCGTCAATAGTCACTCACGAACAAAAAGAGTATTTATGCCATGATGATTTATTCACAGGATTCTTACTTGACAAAGAGGCTATTAGATGGAAAGTTAGCTGTTTATGGACAGGTGATGAGCTCATGTCAGCTCCTGTAGAGTTTTATACGGCCAAAATACAAAAATGCAAAAAAAGCTTGTTCTGTTACTTCCTTTGACCAGACAAATCTGTATATCTCGTTCTTTATGTTCAAAGGGACTAGGCGGCCTCAACTAAGCGAATGCCCTTAGCGATAATAATTCATTCTTAGCCAATAATCTTGGACTCTTGCTAGTACCGTAGTCAAAGATATTAGCGCTAGGACAAGGGTACGGTACTGAACCAGAGTCAGAGTTACGTTTCTCGGCCGAAAATAAATCGTGGGCTACCGTTTGGGTAAGTGGCTTGATCTAGGCCTACCCAACAGTACCCACGTAATCCACATAGCAACCTCAG